ATTAGCACGTGGTTGCCCAAATCTGATCAAGCTGAATATCAGTGGGTGCTCGGCCTTCAGTGATACTGCTCTTGCATACCTCTCCGGGTTTTGCAGAAAATTGAAAATCTTAAATCTGTGTGGATGTGTTGAGGCTGCATCCGATAGGGCATTGAGGGTATAAAAACTGTAGTCCTGTCTGTCTATCTTTTGGTTCCTTTATGTACAAGACGGTTTAACATCAGTTCCCGATAAATTTAGGGTCGACTAAATGAATCTCTCTTTGCTCTTCTGCTCTATTCATTTCTATACTCAGTGGAAAATCTAAAACAATTAGATTAGTAGCGGTAGCAACTATGACAGGTGATGTTAATTTTGGTCTATCCCTCCCTCTTCTAACTCGCCAGAATAGTGTCAGTCTTATGAACGAGGCCTATTTAGGTCAGCACAAAACATGACCAAGCACCTTAGTCATTCTTTATTTATAAGAAGGTTCATTAAATCTCATTTTTTTTAAAATTTTAACTCCATTACGCAGGCCATTGGATACAATTGCCATCAATTGCAGTCTTTGAGCCTCGGATGGTGTGACCGCGTTGGTGATGAAGGTGTAAAGAGTTTAGCGTACGGTTGCCCTGATCTCCGAGCTCTTGACTTATGCGGTTGTGTTCTTATAACAGGTATTCCCTTGTTTTAATTCATTGGCTCGCATTCTAGTATGTTAAGGAGTACATATAGTTTTCTTGTGTAAAGATAATCAAGCATGAAGATCTATGAAATTCTTTTGCTGCAATCAATAAAAATGAGATATTTATTGCAATGTGATTGTGGAAGAACAATTCACAAGCTTCATATGAATCCTCCAAGTCAATGCTTGGATACAAGGTGGGTCTCCATGGTGATAAATTTATACCATAAGCCACATGCTACTATTTTAGGGCAGGGAGGGATGAAATGCAAAAACAGAAAGTTATCTTGTGTTATGTAATACGTCATTTATCCTTTAGGTGCTTGTTATGCTAAATATTGATAGGTAATTTCCTCTGTTTAGTGACTTAAGCCTATCGTGTTAATCTAAAAGCGCTTGCTTGCTATGCAGTATTAGATAGGACAAGATATTATAAATGATAATATTTAGCTTCTTCTTTGTATATTGTACAAATTCATTTTACCAAACATGCCAAAACTGTAATATTTAATGGTTGAGTAGGAATCAACGGAAGTTAGGTCTGCCTTGGCTTTCTCAAGTTTGAAATATATTTCAGATATTGTAGGTTATTGCTAGTTGCAGAGTTTTGGAACGCCTTCACTTTTTTTGTTATCAGATGAAAGTTTTTACATATTTTTCTGATTACTTCCTTTTCGATTTCATTGGATTTGTGTATTAACTGAGGGACATTATTTCAGATGACAGTGTAATTGCTTTGGCAAACCATTGCCTTCACCTAAAATCCCTTGGCTTATACTACTGCCAAAATATCACGGATAGAGCAATGTATTCCCTGGCACAGACTCGAGTGAAGAGCAAGCACGAGGTGTGGGAGTCTGTGAAGAAGGGATACGAGGAGGAAGGTCTTACGAATCTGAACATCAGTCAGTGCACAGCCTTGACACCTCCGGCAGTTCAGCTATTATGCGACTCGTTTCCTTCCCTTCACACGTGCCCTGGTCGACATTCACTGATTATAAGTGGCTGCCTGAATTTAACGTCTGTGCATTGTGCATGTGCTGTTCAAGCACACCGTGCAGCCAGTTCATTCCCTCTAGCTCACTGAGATGACAATCTTGGAAAATCCCGAGTTCCATTGAAGGGTGAAGAGAGAAGTTTGGTCTTGTGTATATTCTTCTTCGAGAGCCAAGAAAGGCATCTGCTTGTCTTTGCTAATGTTCTGGCAGTCAAAGTGCTAATATTGTTTGTTTGTTTTGTTGTTTTAGAGACTTCAATTTCCTGTGTAACTTCACAAACTCCTGAATCTATCAACTTTGTTTTCGAATTGTCTTATTTAATGTTTAAATGTTGAGTTGCAGGGGTCATTGCTTATACATGAACTAAAAACAGATGAGAATATTAACATAATAGAGAAATTATGATTGAATTGAGATCTCTCTGTTGGTAGAGAAAGGAAAGATTTTGCTACTGAATGCAATTTTTCTTTTTTTTTTGATGGGGACATATCTAGCATGTTACCCAAGTGCCAGTAAAAACAATTTCACACTAGTACGGTTCTTAGAAATGTTACAGAGACACCTGAAGAGCCTACCTATTCCCTGCCATATAGGAAACCAACAAATTGTTAACACGAAGCGCGTCCATCTCTGTGCTTAGAAGTGGAAGTTATTTTGTCAAACGTGATTTTCAAGACGATGTAACTGCGTGACTAAAGGGGCTCGATAATTTAGTATTTTCTGTGTATCCTCTTCACCTCACTATCATCACTACTTTCATCATAATCTTCTAAAACATTTTTCTTTTCGATGTTCCAGCATTTTGTGTATACCTTTCACACTGAATACACAAGCACCATTCTTTAAAATTATAATAAGAGAAAAAATATAAAAATCTCGCCATATCACCAGGCAAAATATCTACCAGGTGAAACATATATAACTATAAAACTGTAACGGCTGGAAGATCTAGTACTACCTGAAATACTTTTCCTAGAATTCTCAAAGCCACTGCACGCGTTTTTAATTCTTCCTTAATTGTTTTCTTGTAGAACCTGTCAATGTGTCAAAACTAGTTTGACAATGCACTGAAGGCTTGTTTGTTATGCAATATTCAAAAGTATAGTATAGTACGATAGTCAAGATTTGAACTTTTTTTTTTTTATTCCTGTCCAGGTTCAGTCCCACGACAGAGGTGCAAGGGGAACTCGCAGACTGAAAAGATGAGAATTACAGCATGATGGAAAATTACCATTGGACACGCATGTAATAGGGTCACTTCAATGTCTTACCACATTCAGTTTCCATAGTGAATTCATAAGTGTGTCCTTGTTTAGTCTAAGATGTGATTCTACGTCATTTTCAGGGCCACTAGAATCCATCTTGAATTGGCGTCTGATGTCTTCCTGAAGTTGGAGCAACTGAAAAGCGCCTGGGGTCGATTATTCGAAAATAACTTGGAGGTCGTTGGAAGCAATTAATTAAGTTAATGTTGTTCACAACCCATTCACTTCTTGGATGGCTTTCCTTTATGTCCCAGCCCCTTTACCATTTGTTGATCCATGAGACCATTATTAGAGCCCACTTAAATTACACCTTAGATCTATTTATGGCCTCATTATTGGAAGAAGCCTTGTGTGTGCGCAATAAAAAAACAAAAGGAGGCAGCCGTTCTTCGTTTTTTTCTCTCTTCGGGTTGGGAAATTGAAACTTGTCTTCCTTCTCTTCTTGGTTGCATATTGCACCCACCCAATTGTGTTCTTTGTGGATACATTTGAGTCTAGCGACCGAAGTAAAACATAGTTGTGGGTTGGAGCCAATTGATTGTGTGTTTGATTCGGTTTAAAGGTATAACTGAGCCCAGAAATACACCCTGGTGGCAATTCTTCCGTGATCAGGATGAACTTGCCTTGCGTGTACCGCCAAATGGAAGGCGTCGAATGTCGTTAGAAATAATGATCACAAGAAATTATCAGCAGCACAAAATTAACTGAAGGAGTAAAAACCAAGAAACAATAGAGATTAAGAATTTAAATCCAAAGTAACCAGTTTTTCCCTTTCTTGCAACACAAAATTATGGCCAAAAAAATAAATAAATAATCCGGTGTTTTATTCACCAAATTTACAACCAGTTAAGCGTTCAAGTCCACATATCAAAATCAGTAAATTAAAAATGCCATGAGAATACAATTTCTGTGATCCTACAGCATATATAATGAATGTAACTCAGCTGAATTTGGCAGCAATGGAATCAGAAATTCTCCATCCTAATTTGAAAATCATATATACATTAAAATATCCAAATGGAAACAGAAGATGACCCAGATGGATAGTTAAAGAGTCCTAGTCTCCCACAAAAAGAAATTATTATTATTATTATTAAGGAATTATTGAATCACCATTTCCCAAAATATGTTTACTAAAGTTTCAACAAAAAAAAAATATTGAAACCCCAAAAAGAAAACCAATTCCTGTAAACTTTCTTGTGATCATATTACTGGCAAATTAAGCCTGGCTCCAATAAAATTAGAGTCGAGTACACGAATCCCTTTTTTTTTTATCCATTCATTAGATCTAATCCTATACCAAATGGCCATGTTTGAACCACATTATTTTTTTCATTCTCATTCTTCTGCTCATTTTTAACTACATTTTTCAATAAAATAATATTTTCCATCACATCAATAACTTTTTCTTCTTTTTTGATCACATATTCTCCATCACATTAACAGTAAAAATACATTCTTTTTCCAAAAATGTGCACCAAACGGTAGAAAGTGTACGTAAGTACATGTAAAAATGAATCATATCCATAAAAGGAGAGTTTCTTTCACCATTTCTGCATAATTTTTCCTTTTTAAGAGCCCTCCTTGACTCTCTGCTAAACAATCTTAAGTGTAAACCTGAAAGAAAGAGAAAGAGAGGAGAAAGGAAAACATTATTATAAACGGTCACTTTGAAGCGTTGATCATTTTGTGTGCTGTAATATCAACCGTCTTTTTCAGTATTCCTTTTTGTATTCAAAAGAAAAAAAAGAAGCTATATGTATTCAAAAATTACCCCATGTTAAATACCAATGTTTATTTCTAATAAATAGGAGTTCTTAATATTATCCAAATAAATTGAAGCTATATTTGGGAGGAACGGTACTGAAAATGAGCAGACGACAATAGACAAGCACAAGTTCATCTTCACTCTTTGCATTGTCCAATATTGTCTAATTCACCTTACTTAGACTTCCACGACAAGCATGCCATGCTCATCTCCACATATCTCTCAAAACATAGGCTGGTCGTTAAGTATTTGGAATGCTTCCTTGGATTCAGATGACAGAAGATCAGATAAGTTGTTGAGCCCTACTTCGGCTTTCCTCGATTACCCCTTTTACCTGACTTCTTCCCCTTATTTGATTTGCTTCCCTTCAGATGAGAAATCCGCTCTGCTTTCTTTTGCCTTGCTTTCCTAACTTGATCGAGATCTTTGATTTCAGAACGCACGTGAGCATTTGGTACTGACTTATGCTTTCCACCTTTGAATCTTCTGTTATCCCCTCGTAATCCACCACGACCTGTGAAAAGAAAAGTTTAAAGATCATGTAAAAACCCATCCTGTTGTTCATATACTTTTCTCAGTGAAGGCAACTTAATTATCAACACATGTAACTAATAAGAGAGAAATATTTGGGTAACAATTCCATAAACTAGTCAGTTTAACGTGCCCTTTAGCAATTCTATATAAACTAAAAATTGGTAACCGGAAACATGGTACGTAAAATCACCAAGAATTCCTTCTCAAGAGACGAAAAGCCTTATAAATTCCAACCATGTTGCACGTAAAAAAAACTAAATGAAATAAAATTAAATTCTAAGTGTCAAAAAATAGAAAATGAAATAAAATACAAAGTGTCAAGTGCAATGAGAGGGCACAAATCAAAGCATCCACTGCAAGAAAGTAACATAGAAATAAGATAGCATGGCGTGATTGCAACATACTGAATTCATTGGACAAGAGGTAGTTCTGAGTTGAACAAAATGGTGAAAAGGCTAATGTAGCCATTTCTTGTGTATTAGGAGTGGGACTTCGCTAGTTATTGTTGTATATTACACGACTAGTGTCATTTCCTGTAGAAATGAAGAGGTAGAAATACAGTGCAGTAGCTTGAGTCTAAAGCTTACCTGTAGAATGAGAAGATTCATCAGTGCCTTCGTTACTTCTTCCTTTAAGTGATACATTCTTGTGCGATCGTTCTTTCCACTTCTTGTAAATCCCAGTTTTGTTAGCTTTCAATTTCGCACCGCTTTCATTTTTTATCTGAATACCATTGAAAATTTCACAAAAAAGCCTTGGAAAATCTAATGGTCAATTAAGCAAAGCAAAACAAACTTTTTCTTGCATATAGCAATAGGAGACCTCTCAATTGTTTGCGGAAACAAATTTAAGGGATTGAGTAATACATGTGCGAGACCGAGAGATAAAAATAGCATTCTTATTGTAAAAACGAAATTGTGAAATTCTATCATTCAAGAATAGACAGGCTAAAGATATCTCAGTATTGGAAAAAAGAAAATTCTGAAATTTAATAGTCCACTCATGTGATTCCACTTCAGAAAAACAATATGAACAAGGTTGTATTACATATTGATAACTCAGTATGATATGTATGTCATAACACCGGAAAGTTCAAAGCAATGGATACATCCAGTAACAGAACTTGGAATCTATTCAACATAGTATAATCAAAGTAACGTCATATCTAAATTGAGGTAGAAATTTCAAATATTTACTAGTTCAAAGCTCACAGAAACAGCAAAATGACCCATCATCTCAAGGTAATCACACAAAGTCTACAATCAAACTGGTGCCCATTCATGAAATTATAAGGTGTCAAGTTTCTTTTAATAAGATTAGAGAGCATAAGAATCAAAATTATTAGAATATAATTAAAAGTTTTGTTATCTCATCATTCCAAGCATTAAAAACTCTTTAGAAGGATTTGATGCAAATAAATGCAATTTATCTGATTCAATATACTACCTCCGTTCCATAAAGGCCAGAGAGTCTTAACTTGAATTGGTTTTTCACGTAGGAGGCATGTCTTGAAAAAATTCTCATTTTTTAGGTAGATGAATGCTTCATTCATGTGTCGAAAGTACACGTGCCAAGGAAAATACCTTCCCACTTGCCGTCACACGGTCGCCACTGTTTAGCTTGACATATTTTTTGCTCCTCTGTTGCCAAGTCACCATAGGAAGATTAAATGTTACAGTACATCACAAAATATAGATTGTTTGAAATTTCTTTTCATTTTCATTTTCATTTTCTCCGGGGGTTGGGGTGAACGGATTCAGTACCTTATCCCAGTGAAAGGAAGATTTTTGCTTCTGTAACCCCCCACCATCATCGGCATTTAGATCAAGAACAGCAGCATCCAACCTATTCATTAAGAGAGATAAATATCCTCTCCATATCACTGTTCAAGTTTCAGATCTAAAGAATGATTCACATTAAATAATGGCCAATTTACATACTTGACTATTCAATTTACTCTTACTAATTCCTAGATCTTATCAACTAAAGAATCTTTACTCAATTCTATTCAGATATCTGATATTTTTTGCTATTTTAAGTTTAAACAGCTGGTTTATGACAAATATTCCAGGTGATTATTTGTAGCCGAAAAAGATATTAAAAATCCCATATTATAAGAGGCAATCAAGATCTGCACATACCTATTTGACTCAAAGCCTTGGTTAGCACCAACAGAAAGTCCTGCTTCAAAATGCTGAAATTGACACAATGAGCCAAGTAGTAATTGCATGGTACCAGAAAAGGCAGATTTTAAGAAATGAACAACTGTAATAGAACTGTGTTATGAGGGAGTGGCGTTTAGGACTAGATTTTATCTCAATCAGGTACATCTTGAATGGTAAAGGAGCATGCAATGAGCATCAATTCACCTGATTCGTGGGCACTGAACTTATGAAGTACTCCTCATCTTTGAAGCTATCTCCCTTCCTTTTGAAACCAGAAACTGCCAAGGTCAATTCGAATATGTAGTGAAAACGACTAGACAGATCAGATAATTAATTATCTGCCAAAAGGATTAGATAAACAAAAATATCGCTTAATATATGTCCTATTTCTTATGGATTGACTGCCTTGAGAACTGATGTCCAGTGCAAAAGGGTCTCCTCAAGAATTTATTTGACATTTAGACCCCAGGATCATTAATAAAAAAATATTTCTCAAGTCTTTTTCTGAGCAAGGGTTACTAAATTGTATGGATGAAGCAACAGAATTCTCTATATTATGTTTACTTCAAAGAGTCTAGAGTCTACAACCTAAATATGCTTTTAGGGTGAAATTATTAATACTTGCCTCTAGTTTAAAAAGAAAACATACTTAAATTTCTTTTTAGCGGTAGAATTGCAGATATTGTCACCCAAGCTTCTATCCAAAGTAATGCTCAACAGGACAAGTCTAAGCATAGGTAGCCTCGAAGATATTACATCACAGGAGTAAGGTGAATAAAAGATGAAAAACAAAGGGTGATCACAAACACCTTGTTTCTGCTTGTTCTTCATAGTATTGTCTTCTGGTTCAACTTCCTACATGACCAAAGAGATGAGCTAAGTGAACATAAAGAAGACATCCAAGAACCGTAAATTATGCTTAACATAGAAGTAATGGTGCAGGGTAAGATCAAGGTTCAATTGAAATTGATGAATCTAAACAGGGAAAAATGGATTATAACCGAGCAAATTAAATTCCAATCAAAAGCTCTACATATACAGCACAAATCCATCATATTTTGCAAACTAAATCAAACATTTGAAGGACGTGTCCCAGAAACTGGGAGTGGTGTGGGGATGGAGGCTTGTCAATATCCAATTGTGGGATAAATGCAGGTCTCGTAGATACTTCTCTTTCCCAACTTAGAGCCTGTGTAGAATAAAGTTGATAAAAATCGGGTCCCATGAAATGTGTGGTTAAAAAGTGGATAAAATTGTTGGACTAAAATGTGTGGTCAAAAATGATAGTGACACAATTTCAGGTCTCAAAGAGCCACAATCAATTAAATCAAAGTCCGGACATCTAATTCTAAAAACGAAGACTCTTAAGGGTTGATAAGGCTGATACAAGCATCTCAAATCGTGATCTGAACAATGGTCAACACATTTGAAGTAAGCGCCTAAAGTGACTGATATTTGATTTGACAATTTCTTAATGAATTTTAATCATGTATATAGTAATTGACGTTTTCTCTATTACTTTAGAGACCCTATTTTCAACAAGAAACACTAGTGCTTTCTCTGGAATACTATTCCACTCTCGGTATCTTAGGTTCTAATCCTTCACATGCGAAGGCCCCAAAGTCATGCATTAATTATGGAATTCTTTTAAGGTAAAGACTGTCAGGTGAATGGATAGCCTGCGTCGTATAAGAATTAAAATAAGATGCCAATCTGGTCAATCACTCCCAAATACCCCTAGCACGACAATTATCATACAATGAATATTTTATTGGAGGAATTACCTTGGTGGCATGATCCATAAAGCGCTGCTGATGCACTTTATTGATCACCACCTCATGAATAGCTCTTTTCATCTTCATCACATCAACCCATTGACTCGAAGATCCCTGAAATTTACTTTATTTTCACAGTTGACCGAAAAAATCTTTGTACAGAATGAGAAAAAAAAAATGCAATTCTTGATGTTAATAGTATGAAAAGGTAAAAAGAAAAATGAGCGGCAGCATTACCTTCCGATGTTTTGACTTAGCCGCCTCACCTTCAGCCTCCAAAATGGTTTGCTTGGGTCTGTTAAATAAAAATTGCGCAAAGGTTGAAGGACTAGTAATCTCTAGCTTTTAATGCTCAAAGACATCAAATTTAAAAGTGAGATTTAGAAGTTACCTAAATGCTTTCAGTCGTTCAGAGAAGGCCATGGCTGTTAATTCATTCCCACCTAGAATATTTTTGAACATCGGATGCAACCCTTCACAGTGTAAGCCTTTTACTCTGTGAATAGACTCCTTAGACGGTTTTGCTTTTGTCTTTGAATACAGGCGAAATGCCCTTGTACAGGGTATCTGCATAGTAGTCAGGTCTGTAGATGAATCGATGATTTCTCGAACTCTGTCAGAATATAGATCTATAACTGGCTGTGGAAAACGCCCATAAACAGTTTCCCCATTAGCAACAGCTTGGTCCATTTCAGACATGACACCATCCATATCTTGTAGAACCTCTTCCTCGGTGGGAGCAGCCCTAATTGGTTTCGAGAGAAAGAGATGAAGATCCAATAGGAAAGGCATATCTTCAGATGTGACCAAAGAAAAGGCAGTGCCCATACGACCAGCCCTAGCAGCTCGCCCTACACGATGGACAAAAAGCTTAGGCTTAGGAGGGAAGTCAAAGTTGACTACATTATCAAGCAAAGGTATGTCAATTCCCCTAGCAGCAACATCGGTCACTATCAGCAGCATAGTCTTTCTTGACCGAAATCTTGATACATGGATCTTACGTGCATCTTGATCCATATCCCCATAGCAAACAGAAGGCTCAATGCCATCTTCTCTAAAGAGAACATTAAGAAATTCAACATGATACTTTGTTGAAACAAAAATTAATGTCTGCTGATCAGAACTGATATGTTCCCTTATCAAATACAATAATGCAGCATATTTTTCCTCCTGCCTTACAGTGAAAAAGGCAAGCTTCAAGTCAGGGCTAATTTTTGTCTCCAAATCAAGTCTTACAAGTTGAGGATCCCGAAGACCAGCCTTGGCAAACTCAGCGAGGGCACTTGGTAAGGTTGCACTGAAAAGCAATGTCTGACGATTTTCACTCAGCTGTGTAAGAATTTTATGCAACTGCTCAGCAAAACCCATGCTGAAGAGGCAATCAGCTTCATCAAAAACTACATACTCCACAGTGCGCAGCGACATGTCATCAACCTCTGCCAAATGGTGCATGAGCCTACCAGGAGTAGCAATTATAATATCAGGATTCTGTGCCAATTCTTCGAATTGGTTTTCCATACTATCACCACCAACTAGTAAACTAATGCGAAGATCTGCAAAGGAAAGCAAATAAATTTCAATAACAATACAGCAAAGGAAATGAAAAAAAATTATTCACTTATCATTGAAATGGAAGCATCTCAATGCAAATGCCAAGGTATTGGTAATACTGATTTAAAACTCAGCTTCAAAATTGCCCACATTCAAATCGGGATTCAGGATTATTGAGGAATTAATGAAAAGCTTTTGAAGCTTTAGTGTTGACTCTGTTGACAGTCTATACCAATCAGTCAAAAAACGTAACTCAAGAATAGGTTCTCCACGACTCCACCCAACAGGCATATTGTTGTTTTACCAATTTAACTACACTGAACAACTAAAATCAATTCGATTTTATTTCTGGAGAACTATAGTGGGAGGGTGTCCTCTGGTTTTGGCCAAAACTTATCATGTTGGTTTGAATTGCAGAATAATAGTTGGTAGCATGTTAATTACAACTGCAAAACATTTTGATCCTGTATTGTTTTCAAGGAAGGAATTGGTATTGAAGGACAATCTAGTCACCTCGTATAAAAAGCAGTTGTTTTAATTTTGAATTTTCCATAGATTATCCTAGAAAACAAAGAAATTAATTGTTTATCTTGGTTGAGATAAATAGATTATTACGTCCAATGGTGCATAAAGCATAACAATTTGCTCTAAACTGAAGCAAATAGCCCACCAGTAAACATAAATAAATATAAGCCAAAAGGCCCAAAATTGAAATTCTTTAAACATCATATAGTAATTTTCTACATTTCAATTAAATGATGAACCATTTACACTTCTAACCGAATCGGCCATGAAAAAGACTAAATATTTACAGCATAGATAAATAAGATTCTACCATGACATACCCCAAAATCCAAAAACATATACTTATACTAAAAAATTAGATCTTCTCACACTTTGATATTAATATATTTTAAAACATTCCATTCACAAAGTGCATATAAAACCAAAAGACTAAGCGAACTCATTAACAAGTTCACACAAAATCAAAAGTTCAAACTTTTCATAATTCTAAACTCCTTTTACAAATTTCAAAATAAAACAACTTGAACACATAAACATTCACATGTAAATTTTTTAACAAAATACCGATACTCACACACAGAAACGGATCCATGACTGGACTACAATAGAAAAAAGTACACTAAAAAAAAATAACGGGTCGGGGACTGGACGGGGCTTCCCCTTAAATCCATCCCTGCTCACACATACAAAAATGGCTAACCTGTGAAGCGGCTGAGTTCTTTGGTAAACTTTAAAGTCTGGACAGCTAAGTCACGCGTCGGGGAGAGAATGAGGGCTCGGACGCCAGCCTGTGGAACATGCTGTTGGAGCTTCTGAAGCATAGGGACTAGAAAGGCCGCCGTTTTCCCCGACCCAGTTCGGGCCATAGCCACAACATCACTCCCAGAAAGTATTATGGGCATCGTCTTCCTCTGGATAGGTGTAGGAACTTTATAGCCCTTCCTTTTGACTCCCCTGAAGATATTGGGACTAAGGCCCAGCGACTCGAAGCCGCCGGATTTTGACTTCTTAGCTTGCTTTTGCTTCTTATGTAGCTCGGATATCGAGCTTACCAGTATTTTATTTCCCTGCGCCATTAGCACCCCGCCTGTTCGGTGGTGGCTGGAGGTAGGTGGTGGCGGAAGTGGTTGTTTTTTTCCTAGGTTTAAGAAGAAAAGGTTTTTCAATCAAACGAGTAAAACAGGAAGAACATAAATTTAAAAAAATATATATATTGGGCTCATTACAGCCCAATTAAAATGTTCCTGTATTGGGCAGCCTTAAAAGCCTGGCCCATTAATTATCTTACCTTCCGTCTTTTGCCATTTAGAATCAAGATTTCTTTAACAAAGTTGCTTCCAAAATACACTTTCTAACAAATTGTAGTATTAATCAAAATTTGTAAATGAACTTAGCACATGTTTGGCAATTATGTTTATAAACAAATAGAAAGTAGACATGTCCTATCATCCAATGTTATATTTATTCAAAATTTCTTAATTATAATCCTAATGAACTCCAAAAATACAACAAATCAAAATTTTCTTTAATGAATTTTGAGCTGTCTACGTTATTTATTTTCTCATAACTTCATCGATTCATTGTTAAATCTTACTTTCTTTACCTAAACATTTCTTATTCTTCATACTAAAGTAGAGTTTCATTTTAAAAATAAATAAATATGTTATGAAAACACAAATAGTTAGCACTAACTGTTATAAGAAATATCAGATAAAATCAATAATGAGGGAAAACTGGACTGAAGGAGAAGAATGGAATACGAATTCAAATTAATTCTATAATTCTCATTAAAAGGATAGTGAGTATAACCAAATATATATATACAATGCAATGTAACAAACCTATGCAGCTGTCAAAATTCTATTGCACACTAATCATAACAAAATTGGAATCTATTTTAACTTCCAGCATGTGCACCAGCAGCTTCCACTCAGCCTCCACTTCAATGCACTCCTTGCAATCGTAGGCTTCTAGTATCTTCTCAATTCTGTTGGTTGATTGCAAAATATAATTTCAATATCCCCCCTCAAGATGGAGAGTAAATGCTTTCTACTCGCATCTTGGATAAATGTGAGTAGAGAATATTAGAACCAAGAGGTTTTGTAAAAATATCAGCGAGCTGCCAACCTGTTCGAACGTGTCTAGTAGTTACACTTCCTTCTTGTATTTTCTCACGCACAAGGTGACAATCTAATTCAATGTGTTTCGTCCTTTCATGAAACACAGGATTAGCCGCTATATGCAACGCCACTTGATTATCACAAAACAATTCAGCTGGCTGGGAATGTGATTTCTGTAAATCATCAAGAATATACTTAAGCCACGTTATCTCGCAACAAACAGCAGTCATTGCTCCGTATTCCGCTTCTGCTGAAGACCTGGATATGGTGTTCTGTTTCTTTGATCTCCAAGACACCAATGATGGACCAATAAATACACAATACTCGGTTATTGATCTCCGAGAGTCTAGACATGCTCCCCAATCAGAATCACTGTAGGCTTTAATTTGCAAATCAGAGGATGAAGAGAATAATAATCCCTGGCCTGGTGACTGCTTGATATACCTTAGCGCCTTATGTGCTGCATTTAGATGTGGTATTCTAGGTATTTGCATATACTGACTCAACAAGTGAACCGAATAGGAGATATCAGGCCTAGTAATTGTTAAGTAAAGTAATCTTCCTATCAACCTTCTGTACATTGCAGGATCTGGAAGGATTTCCCCTTCATCCCTTGACAATTTTATATTTTGATCAAGTGGTATCTTAGTTGGAACAGCTCCAATAGTATCTGAATCTGCCAGAATATCCAATGCGTATTTCCTTTGACAAATTTAAATTCCCTTCCTTGATCGAGCCACTTCTATTCCAAGAAAATACCTTAAGTTTCCCAGGTCTTTAACTTTGAATTTATCATCAAGTGAGGCCTTAAGTGAATCAATAACCTTCACATTATCTCCAGCAATTATTATGTCATCCACGTATATTAGAACGGCTGTGAATGAGTCACTAGTGCTTCTTGTGAACAAACTATGATCAGCTTTTGATTGATTAAAACCTTGGCTAATGATGAAGATAGACAACTTGGAATACCATTGTCTAGATGCTTGCTTTAAACCATACAAACTTTTATTAAGTTTGCAAACTTTTGAGGTTCCATCAACACAATAACCAGGGGGAACCTGCATATAAACTTCCTCCTCCAAGTCTCTATGTAAAAAGACGTTATTCACATCAAATTGATGCAAGTACCAACCTTTCACTGCTGCTACTGCAAGTAGCATTCTTACCGTTACTAATTTTGCTACTGGTGAAAAGGTCTCGTGATAATCAATCACTTCCAATTGCGTGTATCCCTTTGCCACTAGCCGTGCTTTGTATCTTTCAACTGTTCCATCGGCATTGAACTTCACTTTATAGACCCATCAACACCCTATAGGGTCCTTTCTAGGTGACAGATTCATCACAGTCCATGTCTGATTTAACTCAAAAGCATCTATTTCAGTTTGCATTGCTTTACACCATTCAGGATGCTTGGCAGCTTCTTAGTATGTAACAGGTTCTGGTTGTGTTATCATGGATGCAAGGAAGGTTTTGTGTTTATCTGATATTCTGTGATATGAAAGAGTTGAAGATAATGGATAGGGACTACTTTCTGTTTGTAGGACTCTTGAGAATGGATGAGTGATGAAGCTTGTTGACAAATAAAATCCTGAAGGTAAGCTGGAGCTTTCCTATTTCTGTCAGATCTTCGAGATATATGTGAATTTCTTGGGAGATTGAGTGATGTTTCTGCTTTATCAGAAGGCTGATTATTTTCAAAAAGAGGTACATTTTGACTGGAGTTTTGTGTTGGCTCAACTTGTGATTGGAGTTTGGAATTAATAGAAAAATCTAAATCAACCTGACCTGGTTGAGGAAAAACCAAGTGTGCAGGATTTGGAAGTTTGTGAGAGATAGTTGACAGATCATTATCAGTATTGGCACTTGATGTTTTGTAAGGAAATATGTCTTCATGGAATACCACATCTCTTGATAGAAAGATCTTGTTGGTTTCCAAGTCAAGTAACTTGTAACCTTTAGTACCAAATGGGTATCCCAAGAATACACATTTCCTCACCCTTGAATCAAATTTGTGTCTGTTGTGTGCAAGTGTGGCAGCAAAAACAAGACAACCAAAAACTCTAAGCTTGGAATAACAAGGTTCAGTCTTAAAAAGAGCCTCAAATGGCGTTTTATTGTTAAGGATAGGGGTAGGTGTTCTGTTTATTAAGTAGACTGCAGTGAGGATACATTCACCCCAATATAACATAGGCAGCCCACTTTGAAATTTCAATGCTCTAGCCACATTCAAGATGTGTTGGTGTTTCCTTTCAACAATTGCATTTTGTTGGGGAGTTTCCACACATGTAGCTTGATGTATGATGCTTTTTTCAGAATAAAATTGTTTTAAATTGAACTCCCCTCCATTATCAGTTCTGATGATCTTAACTTTAGAATGAAATTGAGTTTCAATCATGGCACAAAAGCTTTGCAAAATAACAGACACATCAGACTTTAATTTTAACAAATAAATCCAAGTGCATCGACTATGATCATCAACAATAGTATGGAAATATTTTGATCCATCATAAGCAACATCAGTATAAGGCCCCCCACAAATCACAATGAATTAAATCGAAAGTGCTTTCTGATCTGTGATGACTGACTTCAAAAGGCAATCTATGCAATTTAGCTAAGGGACAGATCGAATATGGTGCATTCTTGGTCTTAAGTTTGTGGTGTAGATTGGTCAGATGTAATCTGGAATCTGAAAGGTGTCCTAATCTGAAATGCCACATATCGAAATCATCTTGATTGAAAGCAGTAGAAGTGGATAGAGTAGTTTTGTTAACTAACATAGGTAAATCCTGAATTAATCTAGTAGAGGAGACCTCCTTTTGCACCAAGTGATACAAGCCTTGCCTCACTTCACCCAGACCAATCGTCCTCCAAGTTGAAAGGTCCTGCATATAACATAAATCAGAAGAGAATATGAGGTAACAATTAGATGTTTGGGCAAGTTTTCTGGCTGATATCAAATTAAAGAAAAAGATGGAAGGCACAGTACATCATGAAGCATCAGATTATTTGTGAGCTTAACATCTCCTATATGAGTGGTTAATGCTACTTCACCATTAGGGAGAGTGACGGATTGAATAACTTTAGATTTAACATTGGTAAAAAATGAAAATGAGCAGGCCATATGGTCTGTTACTCCTGTGTCAATGACCCAGGGTACAACAGATTCATCCTTACTCTTTGTATTGTAGGCAGATAAGGACATGTGACTACCAGAAATTTTTGATGTGTCTACTTGTTTGGAAGAAAGTGCACGAGATTCATTGGTTGTTGGTTTAAGTAAAGCTATCAACTGAGCATATTGCTCTTGAGTTAAACCGACTTGATTTCTGTCATTAGTCTGCTCCTGTACTGGTTCCATGGAAGGTGAATCATTATCTGTGAAGGTGATATTGGCTTGTGTCCTTCCATAGGGCTTATGACTTGGTGGATATCCATGAATTTTGAAACAATTTTTGATAGTATGGCCTGGCATCTTGCAATGTGTGCATCCAGATTTATCCCTATTTGCCTTAAGATACCTCTCCAATGAATGACCCGCCATCTTACAGAAGGTGCAATAGTACCTCCTTTGGATCCCAGGACTTCTCCTCTCTGCTTCCCTTGAATAATTTTTTGATAACAATGCCATTCCTCCAGCTGCAGGTTCATCAATGGAGATATCCCTTCTCTTTTCTTCTTGTTGGATTGTCGAGTACGCTTCATTCAATTTGGGAAAAGGCTTTATCAACAGAATATGAGTCTTGAGACCTTTGTATGAATCATTAAGTCCCATAAGAAAC